TGCTGTTTAAACAACCATTAGAAGGCTGAAAACTTGATGGTCCATCAGGAGATTCAACCAAACCCAACTGAAGCAAGCAGACTTGGCAGCAGCTTGCTTTCTTTCTCTTTCTTTCTTTCTTTCTTTCTTTCTTTCTTTCTTTCTTTCTTTCTTTCTTTCTTTCTTTCTTTCTTTCTTTCTTTTTCTTTCTTTTCTTTCTTTTGCTGTAGTTATCTCTTTTTCTTTCTTTCTTTCTTTCTTTCTTTCTTTCTTTCTTTCTTTGCTTCTTCTTCTTCTTCTTCTTCTTCTTCTTCAGTTAATTAATTTATTTATTTGGTTCTTTGGAGACAGGTTTTCTCTGAAACTCACTTTGCTGACCATGCTGGTTCAAAATCAAGAGATCCAAGTGCTGGGATTAAAAGTGTGCCCATCACCGCCTGGCTTGGCATCCCAAATCTCTAAGAGTGGTGTGCCAGCGGGCAAGGGTTCCCAGTTGAAGAAAGCACCCGAATAAATAACAGTGTTTCTCAACCTGTGGGTCACGACCCCATTGGATCACATATCAAATACCCTACATATCAGATATTTACAATGTATAACAGTAGCAAAATTACAGTTATCAAGTGGCAATGAAATAATTTTATGGTTGAGGGGTCACCAAAACATGAGGAGTATTAAAGAGTTGCAGTATTAGGGAGTTTGAGAACCATTGGGCTAGAACCTCCTGATAGGGCATCCTCAAGATACAAATTAAGCAAACAGTAAACCATGCTGCTCCTTTTTGCCACTCAAGGTTTACAACACAATTTTATGATTATTGTGTTCTTGTGTGTGACCATCTCAACGTAGTGAGTGGTCTCCATCTCTACTCCAGACACTGCTTTGGGACATTTCATTAAACCTAAGGGATACAAACTCATTTGTTCAATGTGTGTATGTGTGCGTGCATGTGTGCATGTGTGTGTGCTGGGAGTTGAATCTAGGGCCTCCAGTATGCTAGGCAAGTGCAGCAAAGTCCCCAGCCCCCTTAACACTTTTGCTTTTGAGTTAGGGTCTCACTGATGTACCCATGCTGGACTCGAACTCACTGCGTAGCCCAGGCCATGAACTTGCCATCCTCCTGCCTTAGCCTTCCCAGTGACTGATGGTGCAGACATGTGTCACTAGGATCCACCTCAACATATATCCTTGTTTGGGGAATTTACAGTACGGTGAAGGGACATAGGCAGGGCACTTCACTTTCTTTAAATAAAGCACTTGGAAGCAAAGACTATATGAGATCATGGAACAAGCCATAATAGGCTTCAAGGACGAGTTTTAGGTATTTAGTTGATTGATAGGTTTTATGGGAGCCCCTAGGTAGTTCAGGCTCCTTCTGTCTCAGCATCCCAAGTGCTGTAATAACCGGCATACAACATCATTGAATCAGGTATAGGAGCTGGAGAGATGGATGGCTCAGTGGTTAAGAGTGCTTCCTGATCTTCCAGAGGACCAAAGTTCAGATCCCAGCACCTACATGCTCATAACCTCCTATAACTCCAGCTTCAGGAATCCAATGTCCTCTTCTGGCCTCCTTAGACAGACAGACAGACAGACAGACAGACAGACAGACAGACACACACACACACACACACACACACACACACACACACACACGAGAATGTTCCAGGTAGAGAGTGAGCATTCATGTAGGAGCACTGACTGGTGGAGAAAAGCAAAGGAGGCTAGTATGCCTAGAACAGGATGAAAAGAGAAGAACTGAGACAGGCGTGGCAATTCACAGAGAGCATGCTGAGCACCAGGACAGGATTGTGAGCTAATGAGTGCCAACTTGTCTTGAATTTTTAAAAAATCATCCAGTATGCCGTATTGAGAATTAGCTGGGAGTGGATTAGTTAGGAGGCTACTACAATAGCTCTATTAGGGATCTATGGTGTCTTTGCCCATGGATGTGGTGGTGGAAATGGTGAGGAAAATAGTGGGATTCTGAATATATTTGGGAAGTAAGGTTTTCAGGGCCCGTTGAATGTTTAGCTGTAAATCTGGTGTCATGGATGTGACAGGGTGAGCAGTCGAGGAAAGCTAGGGTTTCCTCTTGAGTCTACAGGATGGGATTGCATTTCACTGAGGTGGAGAAGACAGTGAAGGAGTAGGGTTGAGATGGGAGAAGATCAGGAATTGAGAACAAAGCTTCATTTAAGTGGTCAACATCTGAGAACATAATAGGATAAAAGTGCCTGCAGGAGAGGTCTGCACCACAAGGGTAAACCTCAGAGTTATTAGCCTGGAGATTCAAATCCAGGATGTACCCGTCAATGAGTATAGACAGGCTCTAATTGTCATGCCTGGAAAGGATGAGGATATTCTAAAGAGACATTTGTGTCCTTAACTATGGCTGTCTGGACTGTTGGAACAAAGTAGTCCCAGGGAATTGGGCTTTCCCCCCAAAGTCTCATGATCGGAGAAGGGAAAAGGCTGAAGTCTGGTGCCAGCCATCAGGGAACTTGATTCCCAGAAATCAGAAAGAGCTTTCACAGAGTGCCAATAACTTGTCAGAACCACCTTGCAGGAGACAGGACCTGAAACAATGATGGGCTAATAATGATACCTTGACCAGGATTGCTTAATTATACCTTCTGTTTAACCCTTTTCCTCATGTTTGGGTCCTGGAAGATGGACCTCTTTGTTTCTCTTCCCAATGTGATCACATTGAATAAATAATTTTCAGCTTTTCTTTTCTTTCTTTCTTTCTTTTTTTTTTTGGGGGGGGGGTTAATACAAGATTTCTCTGTGTAGTCTTGGCTGTCCTGAAACTAGCTTTTGTAGATCAGGCTGGCCTCAAACTCACAGAGCCTCTGCCTACTGAAGACTTGGATTAAAGGTATGCACCACCGCCACCCAGCCATTTTCTGCTTTTCATTTTTAATGTGGCTCTTTTAATTGGCTAATCAAGGACATGTGGCCAAGACCAGCTTGTTCGAGCAGCCAAGGCATAGTCTCTGGTCCCTAACTCTGGATCTTCAGGTTATCTGACACCCTCTTCTCACCTCTGTGTGCACCAGGCACACACAGTGGACAAATATGCCTGCAGGCAAAACAACCATATGCATTAAATGAAATGGAGAATGAGAACATTGGACAAATTATCCAGGAGAAGACTGAAATCACTGAAAAATATGACAAAGTACAGGTTGGCCATTGCCAGGAACACCAATCTTTGAGGCATTTCAGAAAAAATATCTACAAATTGGTCGGTGGATATAAATTGGAAAGCAGTAAATGGTATAGTCAGATGATGCAAGATTTAAAATTAGAGATGAGATTAAGAAAAAGCAAGGGGTTGGTTAGAAATGGCGCTGAATAGCAAGAAAGAATCCATCCTGTCTACACCCGGCTGGATCATGAACAGAACATAGTCACTTTTTTGGGACAAAGAGATTAAGTTACAGATACACATGCACACACACACACACACACACACACACACACACACACACACACACTAAATATTTGGAAATGGTGTTGTTAGATATTTCCTTGTCCTCTCCAAACCTTTACTTAAAGTTCTTTATTTTCCATTAAAAGCTAGGTTAGAGATTTTCTAAGAACCCATACTCATTAATCCAGAGAATTCACATCAGAGATCTGGCTCATTTTCTGACCTCTTCTGCAAAGCTTATATTCACCTGACTTGGTTTGGTTGCTCAGCAAGGGAACTGCTGATTTAGAGAAGTCCATCTTCAGAAGTTTAAAATACCAAGTGTTGCTTGCAACAGAGTGTGGAGTCCCTGCTGCGGAGCAGCACTCAGCAGAGTTGGATAATCCCTTTCTGCGGCTGGGAATCCCTGATCATGTCTGCACAAAGCCCCAAGTCTCTGTGTTCTTGGCAGCTGTCCACCCAACACAGAAACGATTGTTTGTTGAATACCAGGGAGGAGATTGCTATTTGGTCACTGCTCTCCTGTTTGTGACTAGCTGAACCATACTTGTAACAATATAGAAAACTCTGTCACGTTAAGTCCTCAGAGCCTACACTGAGAAGAAACTCTGTAACGGTAATTAACCTCCCAGAGGAACAAAGTGTTAGGAACCCAACCCCGAGCAGCTGAGTCATACCCACTTTGATCTCCTCCCCAAGCTTGCGCAGGGTTTCCCATAGCTAGCCAATGTTCTGGCCAGTGTCCTGAAAGCAGACCATAGTGCTATCCATTCATTTTCTTCCCCCCTCACAGTCTCAAAGGGAATCTTTCTAACTAGAAGATGTAGAAGGGTCTTTCTGCTTGCTGGGCAGACTGGGATTTTGCAGTAGCATTTCAGTGTTAACAGCACCACAAATGACACCTAGTTTTTCTCAACAGCATCTGCTACGGTGCATTTTGCAAAAGACTCTAATTTTATCAAGGATACAGAAATCTTTTTATCTTTCTTCTTGGTGGGTGATTTTTAAAAAAGAACACAGGAGTCTCAGTGTCTCTCCACATTTCCAAATATATATCTAAGACAGACAAGAAACGAAAGGCCCAGATCCTTGTCCAGGAAATACTTGTCACATTTTGGGAGTATTGTAATCCCTTCAACTGTTTGATCCTCAACCTCTCCCCCCTGATGATGGGAGATGTGGAACCTCTAATTAGCTCTCAAGGCTATCCCAATGCTAAACTTTCTAAGTAGAAGGGGAAAAAAGAATAATTTATTAATAATACAAATAGTATTCATTTTTATGCTGGGCAGTGGTGGTGCACACCTTTAATCCCAGCAGAGTC